GCGAAAGGAGAACACCTTGTTACCACATCTTCTCTTATCTTCCTTCTCACACGCTCCAGCACAGCCTTGTTGGCAACAGATCCTCATATCAATGGTTCGTATCTCACATACTGTGCAACAACAATTGAAGAGCATGCAGACACGAACATAACTGCAGGATTTGATGGCAAGTCTTTCCGGTTGAGATCGGAAGGCATCGTCAACATACATTTGAGTTTTGTGAAGCATTTTTTCGGCCAGGATAAAAAGCGGAAATGCCATATTGAAAAAGTGGACTGCACACTTATGCCTATAACGGAACCCTTTTGTTTAGACCAACATAATTTCATTCAAATTTCAAATAACCCGCCTGGTTAAAGTTAGGAAGTTTCGTTCAAAATGCCACTGATCCATGTAATTAGCAATGATAACATTTCGTCACAAGAGTGCCGGAAACCTTTTTTTTCACAAAATTTACTCCAGAAAACGTGGAAGTTCAATGAAAGCTACGATAATAGCTTAGTTTATTTTGCGTCCTCCCGAGATCCGTCAATTCAACGATGTGTCCATATACTTTCGCAGCTTTCGGTTTCAAAAAAAAACGTTATATGCCTGAAAAGAAACACAAGTTCTTCCTAGAGGAACTTGCTTCTTGGATTGATTGTTTGGGTGATTGGGTTCGTATTCATCCTCAAGTGCTCTATTCATTTGAAGCCCATTCTTCAACATCCTCAACAGTCTTTTCCTGAATAGAACCTGATAATTGTTCACTTGTGCATGAACTGCTGTGCTGACAGCAGGATGTGGCTACTCCCCGATGAGGACTCATTGTTGCCAGAAATAGTATTCAAAAACATCACTCCTCGCAACGTAATTACTTCTTCAGTTTTTTACCTGGTTCGCTTTTGTTTGAAACACCTAGATTTGTTTCATTCATACGAGTTGTTCGACAGCTGTAATGCATCCGTCCTTATTAAAATCAGGTACGCTTTACTCAAAAAGGTGTTTTGTCTTCTTAAACTTCAAACTGGAGAATGAGTAACGATTCCTGCCTGGTGGTTTTGACTTTTACGTGAAGACGTTACTTTTTCACAAGTGCATGGTGTGAACTTTGACGAGTCGCACCTAGAAACACCGATTGTTCTCATAAGTCATATCAGTTAGTAGTTAACTGAATCAGTTTCATCAACTTTTACCCGCTATCAAGAAGCACTTTTTGATACCGTTCGCATTCTCAACATTCCAAACATGCCTTCTTAACTTCCTGATATTGAAAATCCTCGTGATCAAACGATAGAGTCCAGAGAGGAGCAGCAACGTCCTCCCCGTATTCATTGTTTTGCAGTAAAAATGAAATAATGCTTGACCCTCCTGAATCTGGAAAAAGCCAGTTAGGTCAGATTATATTATTTTACGCACTTTCAAATGGAGAAGCATCCATGGTTACCAGCTTAGCTGCGCGCCGGGCAAATCAATTAGGAAGCGATCATATTCACCGTCTGTTCGGCATACCTGTAGACAACGTAGAAGTCGCAAAAATTGCTGAAGAAGCATCGCTGAAGCTATCGCACGGTCCTAAAGGTCAACATCCTACCTTTTTGCAACTGCTAACAATCGAGTAAGTGTGCTAAACGCTGAGTTGATGAATATAAACGCTGAGTTGATGACTAACATGGAAATTTTTTCTTCAAAGACTTCGGGACACCTTCACGTTTTCACTATAATTTCCTCGCCCATCTTGTTCGAATGAGACTAGTTCCAGAAGATATTGAGGCAATTGTTGGAACTTTGCGGATAATTGCCATTTTGTTGATAGATTTTTTTCCTGTTGTTTTTCATAATTTTAAATTTCGCTCATTTTCACCTTAAACTATGGAAATTTTCCACTGACTTCTTGAACTCACTCTGACTTCCAGTTTCTGGTGGTTTATCAATCAAGAAAAGAATTGAGGGACAAGTTGATGCTTATTATATCCCCATTAGGATTGACGGAAAAAAGCATATCAAAGTCGTGGTATCGCAATTCAAACTGATTCCAGGAATGTGTAAAGGGGCACAGGAATGCGTTTCGACCGTCAATGAAGTCGGCGCCAAATGCATCCTGCGTGGCCTCCAGGAGAAGCAACAGCATTTTTAACCACAAAAGAAATTTTGTGCTGCACACTTCCTCCGGCAGCGGCAAAGTGTAATGGTCTCCAGACGGCCAGAGAAAGAAGTCTGCAAACCGAAGTTTGTCCAACAAAACGCATGCCGGCAGTGAGAGTTTTCATTAAATTTTGTTTCTCCCCATTGTAAACTGAAACTCTCTGTTCACTTGACTGGTTCCTCTGAAATGAGTTTTCATCTTTTAAATGATGTTTTCGATTAAAAAGTGACGTTTTCGACTCCTTAAAAACTATGCATATCATTGAGTGGGTCAAAACTATTAATTAGTTTTTTTGCCATCTATTGCAAACTGGACACATGCTCATCGCTATTTCTTGATCAAAAGTGTTCACTATACAGGTTCGCTCATGGATACGTTTCCCTATTAACCTCCTCCGCAGTTCATCACCATAAGTCACAAACAACTGATAGTTTTTTTATTGTTAAATTCTTGTTAATGTAAACATCAGTTTTTTTCGAAATTTTTTTAACTTTTTTCAAAAGACAGTAACTGATAGCAAGGTGTACTCTATTGGCACAAAATGGTGCCTTAACACAGCAAAAATCACATTTTAACATTTTTATACCTTTTAGGATTAGTCTGAGTCACATTATCCTTTTTGCTGTTATCAAATGGTATTAAATTCAGCTCAATCATAATTGCATTTCTTTATAAGATGCACGCTACACTTATGATTTCACTATAATACTATGACTGAGATAGTATACCATGCTCCTTATCTGTCCCGATGGCTCCAGCAAAGAACTATACCACCAGAAAAGTTACACATTTTTAACGGTGGTTTGCGAGTGTCGTTTTCACGTTCCCCTTTAATGTACCTCATGTTGTCCTCGCAAATGATAAGCCTGTAGCAGATGATCTCAATTAAATGAAAACAAATATCTGTGTCGAAAAAAGTTAAAGGTCGTTTTCTAATGAGCATTGACAATGCGCACGAAAGGCGTAATATGAATATGAAAGCGTTCTGTAGGAAAACACTAAAGTAACCTCAATTGAGAGGCGGACATTGCAGTAGGAAAATTCATTAGCGGCGGTCGTGTGGGGGCGATGATTACACACCTCTAGATCGCACGTACGTACATTGAATTTGGCTTTTTTTACCTGAAATTTTTTGAAACGTTGAACGTCTCAAAAACTTTCCGTTGCAATATCCTAATACTTTCCATGCGACACTAGAACCCAAAAATAATGACAGTTTGTCATTGCAACTTTGCGATAACTTTATTTTTATGATGAGTTTTGGTCGTTTTTGGTCTTTTCCCATCAACCCCAAAAGGTGATTATTACAATTATCTCTAATTCAGTAACTTTTTCGGCTTTGGTCAAGAGGAACTTTCTTCTGTGCCTGAGATGTGGTTTGTTACTTTGCACCGCGTGGCGCGTTTTTTTGTTTTTAAGAAAATCTTCACATTTTACACAGAGGCGAAGCTAAGCTGAGAACCACTTCCGATATACTATGAAAGGCTAAGATTAAAATCAAACGGATAAAATGAAAAAAAAATCAAATCGTTTTTGTCAATGAAAATTGCAATAAAAGCCCAAAATATCCAGAACAAAATTACCTGTACAGTTAAAAACCCTACAAACAGCTTTGGGACTGCTCTACATAAACCAACTTTTCAAAAAAAAAGAGTCCTTTCTGCAGAACTAAAAAGACAAAAAAAAGCAGACAGACAATAATCTTAACAAGTGCAAGAAAAAAAAGGTCTCAACTGGAATCCAACTCCCCAGCTTTGTCGTCTCAAGCATGGGGGTTACAGCAACTTGGAACAAATCTGAGCCATCGAGCTACGGGAACTAAGCCGACAAAAATAAACAGACGAACGATTGTCTGAAAAAGCTCAACATAGTTTGCAAAAAAAGTGCCCGGCCGGATTCAAACCTCAGGCCTTTGCTGTGTCAAGCAGCTGTTTTACCTCTATGCCACATGCGCTAAATGATTGATCCGAGTTGAATTTATAATAAACAAGCGGTAACAAAGCCGCAAAAAACTGACCAGAAACCATTCAAGACGAAAAGAAATTCAACAAAAAAATCTCAACATATAAAATAGTTAAGTCTCTATTCTTCTCAGAGCACACAAACGAAAAAAAAAACTTTTTCGGTCGTAAAGACGCAATCAGAGGCCACTAAATCGATATTAAAAAAGCCGAAATTTAGTAAGCCGATAGAAAGACAAAAAATTTTTAACAAATCGAGCTGGTAAAATTACAAAAAGAAAAGCAAATTTCGATTCAGCCAGATTTTTAAAATGCTTAAAACAACTGCAGTGAAAATAGTTTACAGCAAAAACAAAACTATTCTTTGATGCCGCAACTACAAAAGCCGACAAAACATGAGCAGACAAATAATAGACCGAAATATTTTTCAACCGGAATATTTGAAAATCCGGTCCTAGTCAGATTCAAACACACGACCTTTAACGTCCCAAGCGTATTTTTTACCAATATATTAAGTGTGCAAAAGACACTTAAAAAATAGAATTTACTATAAACCAAGGTACCAACAGGTGTCCAGATGAGTACTGTGAGCAAAGTTATTTGAGGAAAAAAAGTCTAGTATCAGGTTGCAATACGCTCAAAGGGTAAAGACAGTCATCAACAGTTCGAAAAAAATAAAATAATGGATGCAGATATCAAAAATGCTTTCCCGTAGGGTAATATGAAACTCCTAGTAAAAAAAGCTCCAAAGTTGATTTTTGATTTTTTTTTAGGTAAATTAAGTTTCTTTTTCGGTTATTAGACAAAAAACTATGGGAAAAAGTAGAAAATTGAGTTTAAGTGTGTTCATGTTTTTTTTTCAAAAGTAAGGTCATACATTGCAAAATCGAAAATCTGAACCACTAAATTTCAATCTATACAGTCGCCATGATAGATGATTTAATAATTGCCTCATTATTGAAGATGGCCTCATTAAAAAATTTTCAACTGGTTTAATTGTAAACCAAAAGAAAAACTTTATCTGAGTTGCTTCGTTATCTTGTCCAGTTTTGTCTGAGCATTAAAGTTGCACCCGAAAGGCTAACTTTCAAGCGATATCATCTTCGGCTGCCCTGCTCATCCAGTCAATTTCGCTGGGATGTGTGCTCATTGTTACTGAAAAAACACTTAAGGTAGAGAGGGTGGTGCGCACGCCTGCATGACCTTACGTCAAAGTTTCATCCTTGAAGTAGATTTATGGTGTATATTTCTTGTCCACCACTACTGCATTTGTTAGTAAGATAAGATGTACGCAAGACATAGGGCTCCACACTTTCCACTCTTTTGGGCTCTCCGCGTCTCATTGAAAAACCAAAACAATGAAAAGTATCGGCAGTGTCTTTATGAAAAACAATCCCCTCTTCTTCGCTGCGATAGTACATCATGGTCCTGTTGACAGGTTGGGTCCAACAAGGACTGCCCCATGAGAAAAGTGACACGTTGTAAACGTCGGCTTCCGATCGTTTTTTCAGTTTAGCTTCCCCTTTCAAAATGCTGCCCTGTTGACCTTGCAAAACGTAAAGCCTATAAAAGATGAGATTTAAAAATGGATACAAAAAGCAGTCTGGGAACCTGATCTCTATCAATGGGACAGTCACTGGTTCTGTTTTACTGAGCATTGCCACTGCACCCGAGGGGCGCAATTTGAATGCTTTAAATAGCATTAAACTTCAAAGTAACCTTCATTGAGGGTTGTAGATTGAATTAAGAACGAATCATTAGTACAGGTTCGTGGTGTGCTGAAAATACATAAGTTGTCTAAGTCGACAAAAAAGTCTTGGAACTTTTGGCCAAAAATAAGCACCAAGCGATTAGTATTTTCGATGACTTCCTTGCACAAAAACACGTTTTGAGCTTCAAAACAAAATTTCTCTCAAACAAAACTGACGGTCATTAGAAGTGTATCCGAGTTGGTATAGGATATCCAGGAAAAACTGCTATTTGTAGGCTTTTGCCAAAACCTTTGATATTTCGCCATTGGCTATTTGTTTAACAGAGACATAATTATCAAAAGGGTCCCCCTCAAGAGTCACTCATCGAGGTTAAGTGACAATCTGCAAGGGCACCTTCTCAAAAGCCATTCATTAAGTGACAAACTACAAGTTACACACATCGACTTTGATTTCTGACGAAGCGACGATGAACCCAAAAGATGCCAACCAATATCAACCAATCTGACAATAAAATATTACGATCGACTAGTGTTTTATAGCGCGTAATAACAAAACCTGGTAGCAGTAAAAAAAAGAAATTACTTCTGCTTCGTTGGAGATAATATAATCTTGATTAATTTAGATTGTACCCTCAGTTATGCTGGCATTCTTTTGCTACTTTAACTTCTGAAAAAAATTGTCGAAAATTGGACGCAGTCTCACATAAATTTTAGTTTTACATTTAGTTTTATCTGCTCGTTTTCACTTTTTACGTTTCTTTGTTGTTCTCAGAGAGACACCCGCTCCTTGAAATGGAGTGAAGTCCGAAACCTCTGCAGACTCGTTGTTACTTGCATCTTCCGTTCCACCAGCCAGCTTAGATCGTATGAACGTGATCTTTCCCGGCTTGTAATCGTAGTTTGGCAGTCCCTTTTCTATGACCTTCGACGGGTCTAACAACTTTGGATTTGCTTCGGTGTTCTTTTTTTCTCCGTCCAATCGATTTCCTCTCCCTTGAAAAGCGTGAAAAAGTTTAGCCTGTTCCGCTTTCTTGATAGCATCAATTCTTTCCTGCTCGTTTCTTTCCTCTTTTTGTTCGCGCGTCATTACCTTAGGCTCTTCGTAACCAACAGGCTTTTCAAAGTCAACGTTCATGTCACATTTGATAATACAAACAGCTGGCGGAGGTTCGACAGCGACAACAAGCAATTCATAAACACGATCATTGTAGTGAATCGCAATAACGTCATTACAAGTTAGGCACGAAAAATTTCGCAAGCTATTTTCAAGCACTGCTTTAGGATTCGTGATATCCAGGAAATCAGCACTCTGTGGTTGAAATTTTCCAAAAGTCGCCGAGGGCAATGAGACTGATTCAATATCAACGATTTCACCTTCCTCTAAAAGAAGATTTTTCATCATCCAATAAGGAATGTAACATTTTCCTTCCTCAGCGATAAATTCTAGCACGCCACAATTGGTGACACGACTTTTTCGCTTGTTCTGCAGCTTAAATAACATTGGATAATCAATATTCAGCCGAGAGAGAAGCTCTAATGCCGTAGGTGGTAAGATAATTTTTCCTCCCTCTTCTACTTCAGGGCGCTCTGTTCCGGGCATCATCGAAACAGAAAAACATTTATACTGGGTTTGGAATGTTCTCCCAATTTGAGGATAAAACGGATACATGTCTACCAAATCTAAAAAATTAAACTATGGGAAAAGAATCTGTCTTAGAAAAAAAAACATTGAGGGTGAGACCGTATTGGAGAAATTATAGCCACTGTAGGGCCGGTCAATTCATCGTTGTTTAAGTCAAAAAAATTGAGTGGACCATATTGAGCCTATTTGATTCGTCATTCCAAATGGCAATTAGATATCTTCGAAACTGTCTCGCCGATTGGGCGGATATCATTTAATGAGCTAATTGATCAATCAGTGATACAACATATTTGATTTGGCAGAAAATATTCTTTAGAAGAACTAGCTATGTCAATTTCCAAATCTTTTGCTAATTTTGTGCATCATCAGAAAATGATATTTCAATTTTAAATATACAAATTGCTTTTTCTTTCTTTTTTTAAGGTAATCAGAAGGTCAAAAGAATCATAGTAACCGAGGTTAGTCATGAGTCCCTTCATCATGTATTTCAGTCAAAATCCTTGGAATTTTCTAGATATGGAAGTGATAATGATAAAAGAAGATGACAAGTGTTTAAGTCCTTTTCAATTAAAATCGATACGGGTTACGTTTCTTCAATAAGAACACGCAACTCGACACGAGATACTATAATATACAAGTGTTACAAGTAAAAAATTTCGTCGAAAGTTATTTTGTCATTTATTGTTCCGAGTACGCAAGCGGCGTTCGCAATCTGTATTGCGAGGGAGATTCTCTGTTTTAAAAAGCTGCCTGCTCTGGGTTCCTCAGTGCATATGCTTAGGTTCTTACAAAGCTTGCCCAAAAAAACTTCTGTGCTGGGGCCGGCCGCGCCCTGAATTTCAAAAGCTAGCGGTTGAAAAAGATATCCTTCATTTACAAGATCTTTATACTTGTCAATTTTTCGCTCTTCCGCTTCAGCGGCAGCCGTACCAGGGTTACAAACAGACCCGGCATTAATCCTACAAAGAGCTTAGGAGTCTACTACAGTTACATCCCACAAGAGCTGCTTACCATCAACCCATGGAACGAGCGTCAAACCGTCTGGTCGCTTCTGATCGGTCCTGTAGAGGTGTCGTGGTTCTAAAACAGACGGAATGTGAGTCGATGATAGACTCTGCTTTATAAGGGCATTCAGGTTTGAATGCCTAGAGAATCTCCCTGCACTTTTGAGGCAAGAAAGACCATGCCAACCATCCTCGGTAACGTCTTTTCCGCACACGCATTTATGCCGTTTGCATATTTTTGATCCTAATCGAAGTCCTATCGCAATTCTGAGTTGTTGGTTCGACAGTTTTAACCTTAAATTTTTGCATGGGATGACGTTCAACCATTGGGAGCCAAATCTATCTTGGAACACGTTGAACCTTTTAACGTCCGTTGGTTCGAGTCGTAAAATCAAGTCTGCAATTTCGCTGTCAAAAATTGGCTCCGTCCAATTTTTTTGGATTTCATTTTCCGGAGCCATTTCAATTTTTCCAAGGTCAAACCACCGTTTAAGCGCATCATCATAGGTTCCATCCACATGCTCCAAATCAAAGATTTCGCTCAAGGCATCTTTTGCTCCTACTGCTGAGGCTAAGAAAGCGGGTAAAGCGAGTAGACAAGCGGAAGAAACGCCCAAGCCGCCTTTGGCTGCCGGGAGAACTGCTTGTAAAAACTGGTTATCATCCATTTTCACGTTAGTGACCTTGCATAACGAATTTTTTAGTAATTTAACGTAGCGTTCCAAAAAATCATTTTGCAAAAATTAAGGGCTTGTACGCAAAAAATATAGGAGTTTTGGCATGCTAAAGCAGTTTTTCAGGAGGTAAAAACCATAATGGGCGTCTAGTTTGTCAACGACATCCGAGATTTTTTCAAGCTCCTTAATTTTTTCGTCGAGCAATTCTTTTCGGCAAAGTTCGCCGATTGGAGATCCTAAAATGAGGAGTTCTTCTTTTGTAATTATTTTTATTTTGGGGCATATTTTTCCAAATTGTGTTAAAATTGAATTATACTGTGTACTAGTAGTCGGTCCCAAAAAACAAAGTTCACACACACTTCTCAGTGTTTAAGCTCAGGCCGTAAAGTTGCTCCGATTTCAGAATGTTTTTAAGGTCCCGGAGTACTACCTTATAGTCGTCGGCTAAATTCCCATCATCTAATTACCAGATGGTAATTTTCGACTCCAACTGTTTGACTAGTGTATGTATTGTTTCCGCAAAAAGGGGTGGGGCTTCAGGATCACCTTGCTGAGTTCCGTCTTCTGACATTATGACAGAGCTTCCGTAAAAAAGGTAACTAGGTTTACCATACGCGCAATGGGTGTAATTATACAATTCGGGGCGATTTGAATAAACATGATTCAGTATTGTTTCTCTGTTTAAAGAGTTAAAGGCATTCTTGAAATCTAGTTTTAAAAGAACAGTGCATTTTGGATTGTCGTCGCGTTCAATTAGGTTTCGAAACGAGTGCCTAGCTATTTCTGCTCCTCGTTTGGTACCGCATCCTATCTGTACATTTCCGAAAAAATTTTGTCGCTCGGAGAGGGCCTTGCTTCCAGCGCATTTAGACGCGATACGTCTCAGCGTGTTGCCTATGGCAATCTGTTTCAACCCTCCGTCTATTTTTATGAGGGCGATAAGCTTTGCGCCAAAAAAGAAAGGTCTTAGTGGTTCGGGTATTTTGCCATCTCCAATGAGGTTTATCAGCTTAGTAAGCGATTTCAGAAAATCAAGTCCTGCACTGCCATTCGACTTACAAACAAGATCTTTAAAAATTTGAGGAACTATTTTATCAGGACCTGCTGCTGATCCGTTTGGAAAGGACATTATCGCTTTGTATAGGTCGAAATCGGTTACGAAAAAACTATCTTTTTTCTGGATTTGGAGCTGCAAATTTGGCTCGCTGCGGGTGCTTAGACAACAATTTTTGATAATTATCAGTTGAAAAAGGAGCTATTTTGTCATCCGAAGCAGCAAGCTTTATTCCTCCCTTTACGTTTCCTTCATCGAGCTTACTACTTATTAACTTTATTCTCTGCTCGAGGTCACTTAGAGGCGGGCTTGAAACTTGGGGATGGGGTTTTGGAAGTGACACGTCAATTGCTCGAATTTTTTCATTTATCAAAGAGCTCATGCTTGTGGTCTGTTTCCGTCCACTTCTTTTCGGTTGCTCCAAAAAAAACAAGAATGACGTTAAAAAAAATTAGCCACTTTGTAACATCTTCTACATTATAGTCGATGTCATTTATTTTGTCCGACAGACTTTCCGCCAAGGGAACACGCGAGTCTTTTGGTACTCTCTTGAGTACTCGGACATTTGAGATGGCTGTATTTACATAATTGTCTAGCACTAAATTTTTACCTATTGTTGCTTTATTAACAGATTTTACACCAACGCATAAAGGACACTGAAACCATTGGGTTTTCTTAGAGTCGCTAAGAGAAATTTTTACACAACTGATATCATACCAACTAGAACAACAATCATATCTAATCCAATTTATCAGTCCTGAAGATTTTAAGCAATCTTTGTTTGTACACACTGTGTTGTTTTTCCTCATCTTGATGCAGCATAAAGGTAAAAAAAAGGGATTTTGACTGGACTTTAGGGGACTGAACTAACCCATGATAAGCGGTTAGTGGAAATTTTACAAATCAGCAAATAAAAAAAAAGACAACTACATTAATTTAAATTTTAAAATCGAATTTTAAAAATCAAAAACAAGGAACAATCTCACCCGAGCTCAGTCGGTCCAGCGGCGCATTACCAGACTCCTCAAGCCAGTTCCAGTTTCCCACCTCCCCACAGAAAGCCACTTGACAGACCTGTCTCTAAAATCCCTCAGAGGGCGCTCCACATACAGGCACAAACATCAAACATAACAAATCTATTTTATAAGTTTATCACAACAATTAGGCAAAAGTGAAAAACTTATTCGCAATTTCCAAGATAGCTTTTATTGTTAGCTTGAAAATTCCGAATAGAAATTTCCCGCTGTTTTTCCGTCACTTTCCCAAAATTGTTAATTCGGTCGTTCTGATCTTTTATTTTATGTTTTCAGTTGTCGCGAGAAAACTGAGCATGACAGGCTCCACGAATTTTTGCGTGTGATTGTTGGAAAATTACTGCAAAGGAGGGTCAGAATATTCGGGAATTGTGCCAGTCGGTCATATCTGGAAGTTTGACCTTGAGGAACACGAAAATACGTGGTTTTGGAATGAAGATTTATTTTTCAAAAATTCGAATGGAGCCTGTCATGCTCAGTTTTCTCGCGACAACTGAAAACATAAAATAAAAGATCAGAACGACCGAATTAACAATTGTGGGAAAGTGACGGAAAAACAGCGAGAAATTGCCATTCGCAATTTCCAAGATAACAATAAAAACCACGAGAGTAGAGCTGTCCTATCTTGATATAGGAGACAGTGATTACAAAAGAAGATCGTAATCTAGCTGAACCAGAGTGAGCCTTCGGTGGAAAGGTGGACAACCGAAGTGTCCCAATGGTCCAGAACCAAAACTCCATTCTTGAGATAAAACTTGTTCGATTAGAACTTATTGAATCAAACTTAATTCCCCGATCATTCTCAAGTTGATTACTAATTTAGTTACCTCTAGTTCTCGAGTGTGGTGCTATGTGAATACCTAATTTAATTTTCTCGAGTGTATTTTATGATTGTTATGTTGAGGTAAGGCGAGTTTTAGGTTGATCCATCTGAAATGAAGCAAAGTTCCACTGTCTAATAAAAAGTAACTTAACGGATTGTTCCGACCCTGTTTTTAACGGCGTTCGTGTATTTTGGGTATCTCGAGTCCTAAGTATGGGGACGTTTTTATTTTCTAGAGTGGGGGATATTTTGGTAGTGGCCTTTAAGCTGTAACGAGTTCTAGTCTCATGTCGCAAGTGAACCGAATTGGCTCCGACCGTTTTTGAGGTAGAAAAACACAAGAGATAGTGTCCCTGACTCTTGAGCCAATGGTTATAGGGCCTATTTTTCTTAAGCCTCATATGTGACCGAAGTAGGCGACTGTTACATAGTGTTTTTATGGCGCTCCTGGGTGTTT